TTTGATAGTAGATGTTATGCCTCTTCCTTTCTTCTAATGAGGCAGCTTTAACCTGTCTTCTCCAGTTTAAAGCTACTGTTAAAAAGCAGCATTACAATAACTAGTGCATACTGAGGAATGGCATAAACTTGTTGCTAAGCTTCCTACTCTTTTCGGCAAGAAAAAGAATTCTAAAACATCCCCTTTTCTGTTTTAAAGTGTTCTACTCAAAAAAATGCTAGCAAGCCAGCAGAATCTCTAATGTGCAGACTTCTCTAATGACTTTGCATTGCTTTTGCTTCTTAAATTCCTATGTTTGTGTTTTGGTGTTGTTTTTTCTGAGAAACCTTTACAAAATTCTACAAGCTAATACGTAATTCTGATTTTTCACTGTTGTATAGTTGAGTACAGTACGACCACCTTCCATTTTCCAACTTATAAAAAGTCAAAAGGCGTCACCTTGTGTGATGCCCGTACTATTTTGTGATGGCAGCCACCATTTGGAAGTAGCTAAAGTTGAAAAATTGTAAGTTGCATATTAATTTTCACTACTGATGATTCTAAGGCGGAACTGCTCTTGAGGAAGTATTTTGAAAGCTCCAAACAAGGTTGTAATTCTTCGTGTGGACTGTTGAGTCAGAAACTAATGTGACGTAATTATTTTTTTCAGACTTTCATTTCTGATATATTTGATGTCTTAACCTTATTTTACACTCAAGTGTACTAATTTTTTTTGTTCTTAATATTTCTGATTCTAGAGAATTTTTTGGGGTGAGATTCAATGTATTACATGTGCTGTAGCTGAAGCAGTTTTAATAGCATAATATTTTCTTACAGGGAAAAGAAGATTATTCTCCCCTTTTGTATCATTTCTATGCATATAGGTCTGGTGACTGGTCCCACTGCAGTCACTGTGTTGTTGCATTTTAAACAGATTACTGGATTGCTTTAGAATAGAACTTCTAGTGATGAAGAGATTGTATGTGATGATTGAAGGAGATGCAGTATAGGTGATTTCATGTGCTCATACTGTCTTAAACTAGGTTGTTACTTCAGAATTTCTTTGTTTTCTGGGATTTTATTTTGCTTTAACAAATTTCCCAGACAAATTAACCTTTCTAAACTAACATTTCTGCTTTCTTTTTTCCTTACCATGCTTTCAGAAAAGACAGGCCTACAGGGAATGGACTAAGACTCACAGTAGTAGTGATGATGATGACAGTTAGGCTGATATGGACTGTAACAGATATACATGGCCTTTGTCACATCCTTTTGAACTTTAAGTATTAAATGTTCCTGCTATAATCCCCCCTGAGAAAGTGGGGTTGTCTGATATTAAATGCTTATTTTTAAAACTGTGCAAAAAAAAAAAATGTGGGGAAATAAACTGTATGATGATGAGTGCTAGGCAAAGGGCCAAGGAATATAATAAAAATTGTCTTATAGAGAAACTTGATGTCAGGTGAAAACAGTACTGAATAATATGAAGAAATAGTAATACATGCCTTAGAGCTTATTTATGGATTTGTTTTTATCAAGTGTATTTAATGTTTTTGCATTTATATAAGTGTTTGACAGGTTTTATTTCTAATTTGCTAGATGGAAATGCTTTTAAATGTGTTTAGTAAAATTTTTCTGAGTTGTACAGTCATTATTGGTGTTAGAATGCTGTTTGACTGTTTTCTTCCATATTTCAAAAGTATTTGTCTGCTTTTCTTTTTAACAATAAACAAGTCTAAAGTATATCTAAAATGGATTCATCTGTTCTGTTCCAACATTGTTTGTTTCCTGGAACTAGATATGTAAAAACAATAAATGGCCTATAAAAGTATTTAAAGATAAAATACCTGTATTTTGAAAGGCACGTTTAACACAAATCTTGAATTTTTCCTTAATCATTTATTTTACCATAATTTAAAAAAAGTTATTCTGTGTATCATTTAGACTCCTTAGATGTGGGAAATATTATTTAGTTTATTTAATTATCTTTATTTTAGTTTGGTTATTTTTGATTTGCACCATAAGTTATTTGGTTATGGAATCAATATTTTTCTTTTCAAAGCAACAAAAATGTGAAAAGAAATCCACCTGAGAACTAAACCCTATGTAAAATCACAGACAGCTGGAGAAAATATCAGTACTGTTAAAAGGCTCTGTGTAGTAAAACATATGTAACATGCAAAGTATTTTTTTTTTTCTGTACCTAGACATGAGGGAAAAAACCGAAACCAAACAGTGCTGAATCACTATAATTCTGTATTTTAAATTCTACACTGTAGCTTTACACATTACTTGAGTGTTAAAATATTTTTTTATTCTGTAATCATGGGAATGCTTGTACAGTTTTCTTCCGTTTTGTGTTTTTATTGCTAAATTTAGATATTTTTGTTGCATTTTAAAGGCCTCTTGCAATACCCATTTACATATCAATAAGTATTGTAGTATGAATTACTGCCAACATCTGAAGCATTAAAATTGCACTAAAGCAGTCAGAGCTTCTGGAATGTTTGCGTATTTACCAAGGGTGATGTTGTGTCCTTCAGTATCAATTGTCTTTCAGTTACCAGAATTCTGAGGGAAGAACCATTAAAATCCACAATACTGCTTATTCTGCCTCCTTGCCTTCAAAAGCTGGTGTACAGCCTGGTCCCTTGGGCAATGAGCCAAGGGCTACATGCCTGTAGCCTCCCAGATAAAAGAAGGGGGAAGCTCCACTTTAAGAGTTTAACTGAAAATACTGAGGCTTAAGATTGCTGCATATCATGCACTGCTGTTTCCGTGGTAATGCTGTCGTCTCCACAGTGTCTCTTGCAGAAGTAGATGAAAGACCGTATTGCAGTGTCTTACTGAAACACTGAGGGAAGTTTTTTGAATATTTCAGACACAAATGGACCTCAGGTATTTCTCTGAAGAATGTAGGAAATTATTTTGATCTTTAATCCTGAAAAAAATCACATCATGCCTAAAAGTTGAGGAAATTGTTGGGCATAACTCTATGGAAAGGTTATTGCTATATTTTATTCACTTTACTAGTTCGGGGTAACTTTGGGAACTACCTGACATTTTTGTTTTCCTTTTTAGTGCAATTTTTTTTATCCTATAAAATTTTGTTTTTCTTCTGTAATGACCTGTTTTACAAGACAATGCACGTCAGTTTTATAACAAAACATATTTTTTCCTCATTCTAAAACAGTGTTAGAAGGAAGCATAATCTTTTCTTGAATGAAAAAGCATCCCTGCATAAGTAAGAATTTTTAGAAATAACACATTTTTTTTCTATTAATTTGACCTAACTTTTTAAGGTTTTTAACTTCAGATTCCACAAATCATTATAGAATGTGAAGGTAAAATTTAGTATTAACAGATCTACTCCTGGGTCAGGTATCACTAATTCAAGTTCCACTGCAGTGTAACTAAAAAGAATCTTTTCTTTAATCGGTAGATTGAAAGATTGTAGAATACTAAAGAAAACACCAAACCAAACCAACGCCCGCCAAAACAGTAAAAAAAAAAAAAATTGTGCCTCTTCTTCCTGCCTCTTCCGTTAATGTATTTAAATATTTTAACTTTTAGGTGCATGATTCCCTGCCCCCACACACTTTTTCACTCATTAATGGAGTTTGAGGTCCAGTACTCTTGCTGAAACTCCAGGACTAAGCCATCCTTTGAGCTCAGGCTGCCAAGTTTTCTCCTGTCGGCTACAGAAGAGCTTTGGCCGTCTTGTTTACAGGAGCCATAGACCTGCTGCAAGCACCAGCCTTTCCCTGCCAGGGAATAAAGCTGAGAGACAGGCTAGTCACATGCTTATGAACAAAAGTCATTGATACTTGCACTGCAAAACCAGTGGAGTTCTCTGTGTCACAGCACAGTGCCTACCCAAAACCAAAAGAAATGCAACCCCCGTTTTTTTTTTCTTAATTTTAATTTGCCTGTATATATTTGCCTCTATGAGGTTTTGAGGGCTCTTTTACAGTGCTGCGGCAGGTTGCTGCCCAGATGTGTTGCAGTGGATGTAAGCTCGTAGAGAAGACAATACTGCCAAACTGTCCTTCAGTACTGTGTCCTGCTGTATTGGAGGTGTTCAACTTTCAGTTCAGTGGTCCTTTTTTGGTCATGAAATAAGCTTCAGATCAGGTGGCAGGATGTTGGAATGCTAAACAGACTCTTGTTTCTTAGATTCTCACTTCAGTCTGCCAGGAAGAAATCTGAGGAGTGGGAAAAGTGTGTTGTACTCCCTCTTTCTCTCCTTCTCTCACCCTCCTCAGGCTTGGGTTCAAATCGAAACATAAACATCCATAGTTAAGTACTGTAAAACTGAAGTTTTACTTCATAAAATGACATGGAAAAATACTGTTCATATTTCAAAGTAACTTCATTTTTATTTGGCATTGTACTAACTCTGACAAGGCATCCATTCATGTGTGCTATCTAGTTTGCTGCTCCATTCACTGAGTCACAGCTGTAATTATCCATCCTCCTTTGTAAAACATTTTGTGTCCAGGTAAAAGGAAAAGAGCAGGATCCTTACCACTTAAATTTGCCACTTTTGGATATTATTACACAGCCATTGTCCATCCCCAAATAGAAGATACATATTCCTGTATATATTTACATGGAGCTGGCTGAGACTAGCCAGTTGTTTCAGAGAAACATGGAAGCTTCTGTGACTCGGTTTCATGGTATCTTGTTTGTGATTCAAGCAGAAATGCTTATATATGGTGGAAAAGAAAACAAAAACTAGGTCCTAGACAATGCATATTCCAGCTTATTTGCTTACAAGAGAATACAGAAAAGAAAATATAAATAGTTTTCCATTTCCTTGCTGCTATAGTAATCACTCCATGTGCTACAAATCAAGGAACTTTGGTTGTATTGTCAGGAAATAAGAAAAATGTATAGATGTGGTCATAATGAAGATGTATGGTGTTACCATTCAGCTCATCAAATAAATCCCCCTTATGTTAAAATAAAAAATTGACCAAGATAATTATGCCAGTCAGCTTAAACAAATTATATTTCTGTTGTGATGTAGAAACATTGTGTTCTGAAAGAAGGCTGCTGTCCTCATTTGTACTGTTCTGCATACTGTCGCCTTAGATTGAAATGTTAATCTTGACCACAAATTTCTCTTGATTTAAACAAAACTATGTTGATTTCAGAGTTGCTGTTCAGCTTAGCTGAATGCAGTCTTGAATTCAGACACGAACGTATCATGGACAAAGTTTTGCTTTTTGTAGACTGTTGTTCCACATTAGGATAACTGGAATGAGGGAGTAGACAATAAAGGATTAATGTTCATTGTCTTTGATAAAAGATGAGAGGGGTATTTTGCATGGTGGAAAAGGCAGTGTCTTGCATGTTTGTAGTTTTTTTAATTTAAAAGTTTTCCCTTTTTTTTTTTTTTTTTTCCACACACATTCAAGCTAGATCTAACAAGTGACCTGGGTACTACTTAGAATTATTACAGGTTTCTGTGGGGAAGATTGGATGTGTAATTATAGCAAGTTAGCCTGCTGAAAGCAGCAATTGTACAGCTTTTGAAGACGTTACCTTATAATTTCAGCTGAAAGATACGTTCAGTCTGGGGTTTCTAGCAGCAGCAGTTGAATTGCCTTCGGAACTTACATGTTTGGACAGTAATCCATTCATAAGGAAATGCACTGGCAATCTAAAGTCCAGTTGAAAACTTTTAAGTTAATCTGAACATAAAGAGAGAAGGGTAGCAGATTTACAAGCACTTTTTAAGTAGTAGTGGTTTTCACAGTATTTTTTTCTACATGTTATTTCAGTGGAGGTGAGTTCTAGGGTGTCAAGCATTCTGACTTCTGTATCGCACATACTACTGCTAGTATTTCTTAGGACCATAACCAGAAGGATCATAGATTTAAAATTTTTTCTACACTACTTCCACTCTGCTCTGTTTCATTTCTAACTTTGCCAAAGGCCTCTGTATTTGCTTCTCAATAAATTAGGAGTATGTGGTGTGATTAAGAATCTTTCCAAATGCAGAGATGTCACTTCTAAGATTCTGAGCACATTTATGCATTAATCTACAAAAATGATCACATTGACTGTTAGATTATTGCAGTGACATCTAAGCATTTGTGCTACAGCTAAGAGTAATCTTCAAAGGAGGGGATTTGTGCTTCAATCACTTCATATTTTACAGTTACTGGAGTGTCTTCTTTCAATAGATTTGAATAAATCTAGTTCCACTTCTCATCAATGAAGTGTCACATATACTAAAGTAACCAGATTATTAAACCATTAAAAATTAGGATTTGTTTTCTTACAATGCTGAAGCTAATATTCATCAATGATTGATGAATGTTCACTTTCATAGTTTTGCGTCACCGAACAGTGGTCCAATTTGCTGTCTTTTTCCAAACAATTAATAGCTACATACTGTAACATTTAAAAATTGTTCATGCATCTATGTTGAGGGATCAATTATATATCCTTCTGTGTTTGAGTTGTATGGGGAACTCTGGAAGCAGAGTGCAGTAGCGATCTTACTATAGGAATTGTCAGCAGTAAATTGATATATCCATCTATGAGGTATTTCCTAATGATGCAAGTCTGATGCTAAAAGGGCTTAAGACCAGAGTCTTAAATGCAATATGCATTTGTTACCTCTTACTGAACCACTCTTACTCTTTCTACATGTTATTTCTGCAAGTTCCTGCCGGACTTCTCCCTTTCCCTGTCTTTCTTGCTAGGCTACTAGCACTGAAAATCCATCAGGACATAGAACTACACCAGTAGCCTGATATTTAGGTCAGGTATCCTGTCCATGCTGTTTGCCCATACAGCTGCCTCTGTCTTCTAACCATCCAATGTACCATGTGCTGGAATGTTGCAGATTTGTTTGCAGAACATTTGCAGATAACTTGAGAGCATATTTTTAAAATTTTTTTATTTATGAAGTAGGAGCTTGGACATAAATGTGAGAGGCAGGGGGAGACTCAAATTGGAGGCATGGCAACCCCTAGATAAAGCTTGAATAAGGCTTTTCCTTGTTAATATAATAAAATAATATTTCTGAAAATAAATTTTAAAATCCTGCATTAATCCGTTTTGCAAGCCCTTCATTACTCATTTGTTAAGTCATTCTTGTTGTCGTATTCATCCTGCCACTGACAGTTGCTCTGCCAGAAATAAATTCAAGCAGTGACTTATGTAAGTAGGCACATGATCACTAGCTGTGATTTTGTAGCCCAGCTGAGCTGAGGAGAGAGGAGTAATGAACTTTCTGGGAGTTTTATGGAAAGCTGTCTGTTGGGAACCTGTTACTCAAATCTTCTTGCATTTGAGTCACTAAAAAATCATCATCTTTGAGGGACAGTATAATTTAAAAAAAAACTGTTAGGGCAAGTGGAGTTATGCATGTGGCCAAATTTGAGGTTGCCAGTTATGCCTAATTAAATATCTTTATCATTTTACATTGGTGAAGTATATCCATTAAATGGTTTTGTCATTTTAACAGCATTGAGAACTAACCTATATGTTTTTAAATATTGCATACATATCTGAAAAAAAACCAATGTATTTGCTTGCAGTTTGTAACAGATGGGAAGTATGCAAGCAGTCATCTTGCTATTCCAAAGATGCAGCAGTCTCAATCCAGTCACTGATTTAGTCTCTCACTGCTCAGAAAGTTGGAAGTCCAGTGGTTGCCAAGTCATGTTTAATTTACAGAGCCTCTGTTTTTAAGAACTATTCATCTGCTGTTACCAATATTTAAAATGTGTTGCCCGTTAAGGAATATTCTACTACAACATTCATGGCAAACGTAGGAAAAGATTAAATTCAGGGGTAAAAAAAAAAGAATGTGGAGAAATGCTAATCATTACCTCAGATGCATTAAGTCCCACTGTCTACATGACAGTGGGTTCTTGTATACCATTACGTACACATTTCTTCCCAGAGTTAATTACCCCAGTGTTTTGGAGGTGGTTTGACATAAATTAGGAAATGAATCCTTACTAGTTCAGTTGTCTCAGGACAGTATTAGCAGAAGTCTGGTGTGTACTAAAAATATGCAGAAAACCGAGTCCTGAAATGTTTTGAGAAATTATGTAGTGCATTGCCAGTTTTGGTTAGGATTGATTTTTATTTGCATAGTTACATTAACAGCAACTGAATAATTCTACGTAATTATGAACATCAGCTGTCACAGATCTGTTAGTTATATTCTAATTTTATGAAAGTAGCCTTTTTTTTAAAGTATATGCAATGTGCTTTGCTATAATTTATTCTTTTGGAGGATAAACGCATTTGAAGCACAGGATTAGTGCATGAATTTATACTAGCATATTCAAAGCTATAAAACTTTTATCTCTTTTAGAAAATTGAAAATGGAAGATTTGCAAAACTCAGATATATCGCACATGCCATGGTCAACAGCACAGATCTGTTAATGGTAACAAAAAGGTAAACAGTTTTGACTCTCAGTAATACGTACTTATAGCTATCATCAAAATGTGTGTGCCTTGAAAATTGTATATGGATAAAATAATGGGGGACACGTGTTTAGTGTCCTCTTAGTAATCTTGTTCAACAGCAGCATTGTTCATCAAGAACTATGTTATTTTGAGTGTCATAATAATTTCTTTAAGGAGAGAAAAGGAATGTTGCTGTTATAATTTCTTTAAATGAAAAAAAAATCTGGTTAGGCTGAAGTCAAGGGAACTGTGAGTTTCTCTTACAAATTGGCATATTGAAGGAAAAAGGGACAATACAGGAAGAGAGTCAGTGATGTCTAACAGGACTCTCGAGCATCCTTCTCAAGTAGAAAGTCTGTACAACTTTTTGTAGAAATGCAGCTAGCAGTAGTGTTATGGTTTTGCTGTAAACACTGTATTTTAAATAAGAGGAAGGTTCAAAATTCTCTGTTTTGGAAAGTATGCCGTATAGTTTTTATGAATCAGTAGGTGAGAACTATTTTGGAACAACTAATGACTTCACTAGGTCTAGGGTAACTTGATAACTTTTAAGTATTTTTACATTAAGTTTTGTTTTATTTTATTTTCTGGTGCCTAGTGGTGTATTATTTGTGACAAAAGGGACATTTGGACAGCTGACATGTGAATGGCAGTACACGTATGATGAATTTACCAAAGAACCATTTATTGTTGATGGCAGGAGATTACGCATTGAAGCCAAGGTATGTTGACCTAACATTTTGTTTTCTTCGTGTTACTCTTTATAAAATTGAACTTTGAGTTCCTGATTTCTTTCCTTTGAATTCTTGATCTCTCATATAGTTGAGATTCAAAGAAGGGAGTTGAAATTTGGCATGGGCAAACTCCTCAGATAACTAGCTTCTCTGAGTGTTCTAAACAGAATGGTGGCTTGGTGCTTGCAGATGAAATAACTTCTTAGGCACTTAGAATTTTTTAGTGTATGCACCAGTTCACGGTGTACTCATAGACAGGAAAATGGTGATACAACAAAACTCTCTCAGAAGATTGCTGAGTGTTTTTATTACACACTCTAGCATTGTAGAAATATGTCAAGTTGTACCTTGTTGCAATCCCAAAGACTGAAATATATTGGGACTCTTATTCTATGCTTCAAGCATTTTTTTTATTCCATTTGCTGGTAATCAGTTCTTTAAGAGTATTTTAAGGTATTAGTATCTTCGTAAAAATCATAATGACATATGTTTATCCCTTCCAGTGCAAGTTAGAGAATTTTGCTCTCAGTTGTAATTGTTCCTTTAAAAATTTAAAGTTTGAAAACCTTCTTTGCCTGATGAACTGGCAAGAGGACATAAGAAGAACGATGACACCTGATGACTGAATGTACTTACAGAGGCCAAGTTCCTTAAAAAGAAAAAAAAAAAAAAAAAAATTCTTAAATTCTTTTTGAGATTGTAACTGAATTCAATTCAAATCAATAAATTTACCTGCCATTCTTTTGCTTTGTTTCTGTTTTTAATCAGCTTCATGTGTGTAATAACACATCTTGGTTATCAGGACAGTATTGACAGTGTATGACATCATGCAGTTTTTCACTCAGATTATTTGTTTCTGTTGCACAGAGCATGAAAGGCAGAACCACATTTGTTTGGAATCGTCCAAACTGGATTTCTGACTGCAAGTGAACTTTTACAGGATTAAATAAATCATAGAATTTCTGCCATTTCATACTACGCTGAATAACATATTCATCATTACCCCCACACAGCAGTCATTTGAGGGTCCATTCACATGTCTGCAGTATGCTCTTTATTGAAATAATCTATGGCCAAAAACTTCATTGTGCAAAGTACTGCTTATATTTTGTTTCTGAAGCCTAAGTTGCTATTTTCACTACCTAAGACCACTTCTTGCAAGTCGGTGTTGGTGGAATGCCCACCCCAGTGATGAGTTAAAGGAGAATAAAAAATTTTAACATTATTGGGTACTGGATTTTGTTACCCTGTGTACTTCATTGTCTGCCTTCCATTCCTACACACTGTTATAGTCCAGTTTCCAGGGACTCTGTGGTAAAAAGAGAAGTCTGTTATCGCTGGAGTGTTCCCCTCCATTGTGCTTTCATGCAGACAATGAAGTTTCTGAGAGCACATGCATGTGATGTGATCACATGCAGATTAGTGTTAGTGGGTACACGTGGATGTTTGAAACATATAGATAGCTGCATTAGTGGTAAATAACTTCTTAGTCATGATCTTTGAAGAAATTAACTTCAGTTTTTAATTACTGTTTTTTTTTTAGGAACGAGTTAAGTCTGTGTTCCATGCCAAAGAATTTGGAAAAATTATTAATTTCAAAACTCCAGAGGATGCTAAGGTAAAGTCAGAATGCTATTACAATTTTACCTTGTTAAGTTTGGCTTTGAAAGTGAAACAGAAATGTCCTTAACCTTAAACTACTATGTCTGTTTAAGATTCAGTGTTTCCACACTTTCATTACATACATGTAAATGGCAATGATCTGTTCAGTAATGAATTTCAAAAATACTCGACACCGGCATCAAGTTTTTTCCTAACATAAACCTTTGGAATGATAACTGTCTGTCAAAAGGCTGACTTAACAGTACTGCTAACAAAAACTAAATGAAGAATGTGAATTAAAATGGTATGTTTTAAGAGAACAAACAATGTTTGTGAGTTACTCCTAGTTTTATTCCAGAGGGGGTGGGATGCCATTCCTCTGGTCCCCAAAATACAATTTTGGTTGAAGACTGAAGAAAATCCCTAACAGAAACACAAATAGTTTATTGGTATATGACATTACTAGTATTATTATACACTTATTCTATATGATCTCTTCATTCTGACATCCCTAGTTTTGACTACAACAGAGTAGGAACAGTTCAGGTCTGCTACCAGAGCTGTGAGGTAGCTGGGTTGCAAAAATTCTGCCTTGTTTTTATTAGTGTAGCTAATTATTGTCACAAGCAAATTAGTGTTGTATACACCAGTGGGATATGGTAACCTGGGATCAGTCTTTGAAACAGAGTGCGAAAGTTGCATCCTCTCATTAATTTAAGTTGCTTTTGCATCTTCTTATCAGTTTTAAGTTGCTTTTGTCTTCATGAGGGTAGTTTCTAACCACAGCTGAGTGATACTGTGGGACACTTACCTCAAAAAGCATTATAAATACGGTTAAGGTATTTGAGGGCCCTGGGCTGAATTTGACTTGTCTGTACTCTTTAGGGGTACTGCTGAGCTCCTTCATCCCCACACCCCGCCCCCCTTTTGGCTGTGGTTGGGGCAGGGTCAACATTGAGGTCCAGTAGTCTGTGTGGGAAGGGAATTCCATCTATGCCTCAGCTAAATGGGGAACCATTCCAAAAACCAAATCAACATATTATGTGTGCCTTAAGTTATAAGCAACAAAAGGAAAGCTGAAAAAGTTGCCTGCACTTTTGACAAAAGTGTTGGTTTGCATATTTTCATAGAAAGGCCTGTGAACCTCACAAAACTAAAATGAATACAAATATAAGGGTTGTCAGACAGGCTTGGTAAGGAACGTGGATTTATCTCAGAGAAGGAATATGTAACAGATTCATTCAAAAATTTCCAGCAGGGCCTTAAAGGCTATGCTGCAGAAAGTAACTCTGAGAGTTACTGCATAGCCTATGGCTCACTTCTGCAAATGTGACATTTGTGCTTGTGTGTATAGAGAGATTGACACTGAGGAGAGTGGTTTAGGAACAGTGAAAAATGAAACTTGCAGCCTCTGTAGTAGAAAGGGTCGTTTCAGTGGCACTGCTGTGTGAAGGTTGTGTCGGTCGGGTGGACTCTGCGTGGCTGTTCCATCTGTGAGCAATGCCCTCTTCTGATGCAAATGGTGGTTTCTTGAACAGCCAGTTCTTTCAAACCTCCAACATCCTGCTAAACAGCAGCTCTGGTTTCCTTGAGGGGGTGAGCTTGTGATGGGGAGGAGGAGACCCTAGAGACCAGCAATATAGAACTTGACTCAGTAGCAGAGTAAGAGTTATAGTAATCTATTCATGTTTCTTGAAAGCATTATGCAGTTTTCGTATGGTAATCCCCTTGCATAACTTCATCTCCTACCCTAGATTTCCATGTCAATGCCCCATATGTCCCTTTACAACCCCATTTTTTCTTATTTTAGACTCCTGAAAAGAAATCAAGTATAAAGAAAGCATCTTTTTAAATAACTGTATTATCACATTAGTGTAACCTGTTCTTGTGCCCTGTCTTTTGTTATCCTTGCCTTCTCTATTGACAAATATATGATTTGTCTTAAGAGTTGTAGACTAATGCAGAGCATTAATAATGATGTGACCAAAATTATGATGTCTTTAGTTTTTTAAAATATTATTAATTGAAATACAGACTAGGAAAGTGAAATATGAACCTAGCCAGGTTAATTAGCATGGTATTCAATGTCCGATATTGGTTCTTTAATGCCTGTGTTTTCGTGTAGCAAAATCAGGGGTTTATAATTACAGTAGAATTTTGAGCGCTGTGTTCAGATTTGGTTAGGAAGAGAATAGGTAATGAAGTGTCTGGCCAACACAATCTAATTTTCAGCTGCTTTCTATGGATTTAACGAGGAAACATTTTTATTTTTTCCTTTACACAGTGGATCCTTTCTAAACTGGAAGAAGTGAGAGAGAATCAGCCAAAATTGTAATGGATGAAGAAGCATCAAGATGTGAAGAACATTGAACAGCCACCTTTTAATTCCTCTTTAACAAGCAGAACTGTATGAATATCAGCAACAAAAGCAATGAAATTTTTTATGGTCACAACTGGCTATGGCTATATCACAAAAATAGATGATAATAAGTTTATAAAAAAATCTAGCAATCAAAAAAATTCTGACAGGTGTTTCTTGTTTTGTTTTTTTTTTTTTTTTTTTATGTAAAAATTCCAGATTTCATTTTTTTTATAGATACAGTGTAAAATGAATTTGTTTTACCATTGCATTTGATATAGAAATGAACTCTGGAATAATTCTTATAATATTCAGAGGAAATCTTTCGGTTTTGATCTGATTCTGAAAGTTAATATGTAGTTTCTGTCCTAGTTCTCCTATGGCTTGCGGCTGTGTTGAAACTCAAATTTATCAATGGAGATGTCAACTTAGTAATCACTAGTCTTACAACTCAGATTCTATGGAGGAGGCTACTGACCATCTGAATCTAATTCAGATGAATCACAGGAGTGGCTGCTTAGTTAACAATATTACTTTCTTTCTGTAAATGAATGGACCAGGTGAGAATGAATTTACAATACAGTATCACTTTTAGGGTAAACTTTTTTTATAGTCAACTCAAGGAAATGTTGCAGCACCTCTGTCAATATTTACAGAAAATACAACAATTTACAAAACTGTATAATGGGGATAATTAATCTATCACTGCACTAAAAATACTAATTAAAGCCTATTAGTATAACTAAGTAATTAACAGTCTTGCAACTCAAGAAGGAGTTTATGGGGTTATAAGTGCACTGTTGCATACCAAAAATAAGTGTCTGGGATTACACAGTATTGTGTGCTAAGCAAGTGACTAATAAAGTAATATTTATATTAAATAATATAATATTTCACAGTTGCTTTTATCAATTTTTTTGTACCAGATTAAACTTTTTTTTATTTAATATCCAGACGACAGAACTTTAATAGGGAGGAGTAGAATGTCTGCAGTTCTGCTTATTTCTTAGATATAGTAGTCATAGTATTGCTGAATGAATGTTTACTGCAGTTGATACAAATGTACAGGAAACAATACAGTGTTGCATGAAGGTTTCCATAAATTCCCATATCAGTGTCTTCAAAATTTCTGGTACATATAGTAATTACCTGCTGCCAAAATATTATTTCCAAAGAATAGTTTGGAACATTTATAGCTAAAGAAGATAAATCTGAACATTGCTAGTGGTGTTCCAGGTACCCAAATTGTTGCATTATTATAAAATCTAAAATTACTAGCATGTTGTACAATTGAAGTTCTTTAATGTAAGTCTTATCTTTGGTGTTGAGTAACCATTTAGTGCACTGCAAAATATATGTAATCTTGTAATTTTCCCGATAACTTGTAAATTGGATCAAAAGAGTATAAGAGAATTCCAAACTATAACAATGACTACGTTACTCCACTTGTTTGTACACCGAGTCCATACCAAGAATATAAACTCAGGTTATAATCATGCCAAACTAATAGAATACTTTTCCTGAGATAAGTAGTGTTATCAGGTGCCCTGAGTACCGTTCTTTATCTGTAATTTGTTTTTCATCTGTCACTTTTTGTCTTAGGCATGATAGTTCAGTTAATAGCCTCATCATGATCTTGCCTCTTGATTCTGTGTTGTCTCCTCCTCTCTCTCTATTCCCAGTATTTACTATCTCCTGCAAATTTCACTTCTGGTGCCTCTTCCAAGTACTTTGTACATTCTTGTTAGTGTAGCTTTTGGGTTTACCTTATTCTAAATATTTTGTCTTCACAGAGCCTTGATTTCAGTTAATATTATCTACAGTTCCCAGCTTTTTACTTTTCTTTTTCCTTTTCCAACAAACTCCTGATTCTCAAATCTCAGGTGCCTCTTGAGTAATAGTTGAGCAACTTAGCCATTAATGTTGAAGAATTTATTTAAAATGTGAATGTCTGTGGTTAAGTTCATGTTTTGGAAAACATAACAGTTCCCCCAAATTGCATTTTTCCTATGGAGGAAAAACTATTTTGATCACCTGTGCTAAGTATAAAAGCCTTAACACAAAAACTAAAACACTTGAAGTGGTCGAAAGTAACCACGGGACCTTTCTGCCACCTCCCTTCTCTCCCTTGTAATCACAACATGATTTTCTGCTGTTCCTTTCTCTAGTCAGTGAATTTGTATCTTTTTCCTTCATTTATTCCTTACTCTTTCTCCATACAGTCATGAGTGAATTTTGCCATTTCTTGGGAGACACCAGCTCTACTTCAACTGTACGTCAGCATGGGTGGGGCAAGTAGATAGGTATTGACTTAGGCAGTTTTGTAGTTTTCTGGCTTACTGCAAGTTGCTTGAGGTGTCCACTCTGCTGTGCCTCATTCCTTGTTGCAATATGCCTGCTTTTTTCAAGAAGAAGGCAGAATAGATATGTTTATTTAAAATGTATATGCAATTAGACAAGCAGTTCTCAATAAAAATTAAAATGTAGGCACTTAGATCTGCCCCCTGTGGTGTTTAAAAGTATACCATGGCCTGTGCTGAAGAACAGCTTCTCTCCTCAATGACTGTAACCTAAACTTAGTACCTTTGAGAAATGTCATTTGGGTTCTCAGTAGCAGTTTAAGAGTTAAGAATTACATCTAAGAAGTCAATGACAAACCAAACACAGAATCAAAAATCCCAGACACATTGCATGTGTAAAATATTTGCATGCCTGACAGTTTGTACCTCTTTTTCTTTAGCTGCATGGCTTTGCATGGCATGGCTCTTTTGGTTGCCATACTCCTCCCCTCCCTCTCCACCGCAGCACTCTTGAATAAAGTGAAGTTGATTTTTATTTGACTGGAATGTGATTATTATTTGTTTTCTTTATATACTGTTTTAATTAACAAGTAATACCTCTACTCAGAATTTTGTGGGTAGAAATTAAATCAAATCCTATCTCTGAGAACACAAGGTCAAGCTTCTGTTGCAGCCATCTCAGTGAAAGCAGGATAGAGACTTTAGTCTTTACCTTGGGTTTATTTTAAGGACAGGTTTTTAATAACTGGATTTACATGTACAAGACCCCTTTATTTCTTTCTATTACTTCATTGAAAAGACATATATGATGTTCCCAGATTCTCACTTTCTTATTAAATATTTTTTTTTAAATGTATGTATGCCATTACTTATTACAATTAGCACTTCCCAAAATACACTGACATATCAAACAAATTACTAAAGTCTTTTGTTCCTTGGAGTTATTTTTAACCATCTATCTGCAAAAAACAAATACCACACACTAATCAATAAAAGATTAATATTACTATGAAATTGTAGTCAAAATTCAATACTTACAGCATATTCATGTAATCTGAACTGCAAACCCTAAGTTTCCTGATTCTGCTGCTGTAAAACACTTTAAATAAATGCATCGCATCTTGGTAGGACAGCTGAGTCTTGTGGCTTGTTTCTAAATAGCTCCATATCCATATGACATTTAAATAGATAAGTATATATTTCCTCATACTGTGTTAGCTTCAAGAATGAGAATTTTCCACAAAGCTACTCAGAAGATCCCCCACCGTCACCACCACTTTTTGGAGCCTTTTACGTTTGAGTGCTAGAAAAGAACTGCATTGCTTGCCATCATGGAAGCGTTGCACAGGGCAAGAGTGCACGGTGTTCCTTCACCAAATCATGAAGTGTCACGGTACCTTTTTCAAGCATTAAACTCATCCCAGTTGATACCTCTCCATCTGCAGGGACTAATCTTTACTGAAGTTGCAGCGAGAACTAAAGCAACCAATATCAATGAAACATTTACCTTCCAAGATCTAAGGCTACAAGTGGCTGAAGTTCCCAAGTGTTAACTACAGAGGTGGTTTTTGATTTTGTTGGTTTGTTTCCAACACCACCCCACCAGCCGCACCCCATGTTATCTAGGAAGATTCTCATGTTCTGTATTTAAATCACAGGATGGTAGGAGTTGGAAGGGATCTCTGAAGATCATCCAGTACAACAGAGGAGGTTCGCCTAGGGCCGGTTGCACAGGAACACATCCAGGCAGGTTTTGAGTATCTCCAGAGAAGGAGACTGCACAACCTCTCTGAGCAGACTGTTCCACTGCTCTGTCACCCTCACATAAAGACATTTCTCCTTATGTTGAGGTAGAACTACCTGTGTTCTAGCTTTTCTCCATTGCTCCTTGCCCTATCTCTGGGCACCACTGAAAAGCCCGGCCCCATCCTCTTGACCCTTACCCTGTAGATAGTCATAAGAATTGATAAGATCCCCTCTCAGACTTCTCTTCTACAGGCTAAACAGACCCATGTCTATCAGCCTCTCCTCATACGAGAGATACTCCTGTCCCATCATCATCTTCGTAGCCCTCCATTGGACTTCTCCAGTAGTTCCCTGCCTCTTGAACTGGTGAGCCGAGAACTGGGCTAATTACCGTGGATGTGGCTTCACGAGGGTAGAGCTGGGACTGGGTGGGTAGGGAGGAGAACCTCCCTCGACCTACTGGTCACACTCAATGCACCTCGGGATACTATTTGCCTTCTTGGCTACAAGAGCACACTGCTGGCACATGGTTAACTTCTTGTCTGCCAGGACTCCCAGGTCCTTGGCCATGGAGCTGCTTTCCAGCAGATCAATCCCTTAACTGTACTGGTGCATGGCATCATTTCTCACCAGGTGCAGGACCCCCACACTTGCTTCCCTTGTAGAACCTCCTTAGTTTCCCTTGGCCCAACTCTGGCCTACCCACCCAGTCACACCATCATAGAAGGCTATTACATTAGCTAAGCACAATTTTTCCATTGATGCATCCATGCTGACCACTTCTGATAACCTTCTGTTCCTTCACAGGCTTGGAGGAGATCTTCAGAAAGAGCTGTTCCATCACCTTTCCAGGGATGGAGGTGAGGCTAACTGGCCTCTCATTTCCTGGGTCCTCCTTTTTGCCCTTTTTGAAGGCTGGAGTGACACTGGCTTTCCTCCAGTCCTCAGGCACCTCCCCTGTCATTTACGACCTTTCAAAGATGACAGGGAGTGGCTTAGCAATAGTATCTGCCAGCTTCCTCAGCACTGATGGGTGCATCCTATCAGGACTCATGGATTTGTGGTGTCCAGCTTGCCTAAATGATCTTTAACCCAATCCTTGCCAACCAAGGGAGAGTCTGCTTTCCTCCAGACCCTCTCCCTTACCTCAAGCGACCTGGATTGCTGAGGGCTGATCTTAGCAGTAAAGACTGAAGCAAAGAAGCATTCAGTAACTTCACCTTCTTGGTATCCTCCACCCCCAGGGCACCCACCTCATTCAGCAGAGGACCCACATTTTCCCCAGTCTTTCTTTTCCTACAAATGTAATTGAAGAAGTCCTCCTTGTTGTCTTTGACATCCCTTGCCAGATTTAACTCTATGTGGGCCTGGGCCTCCCTTGTTGCACCCCTACAGACTTTGGCGATGTTCCAATATTCCTCCCAAGTGGCCACTCCCTTTTTCCACATACTGTAAACTTCCTTCTTCCATTTGAGTGTTTCCAGAAGCTCCCTCCTCATCCATGCTGGTCCCTCGCTTTCTCTCCTTGATTTTTTACTCATACGGATGCAGTCATCTTGAGCTTGGGGGAAGTGGTGCATGAATATTAACCATCTTTTTTGGGGCCCTCTCATTTTTAGAGCCCTAACCTGTGAAATTCCTCCAAGTAGGTCTTTAAAGGGGGCAAAATTAGCTCTCCTGAAGTCCAGGAGGTGCTACTTACTATTTCAGTGCTACTTATTGCCCTGCTTCTTCCTTGCATGATCCTGAACTCTACCATCTCATGGTCACTACAGTAAAGGCTGCCCCCAGTCTTCACATCCACAACCAGACCTTCTTTGTTTGTTCGTACAGAGTCCAGCAGCACACCTGTGCTCTTTGGTTCCTCAACCACCTCAAAATGTTATCATCAATGCACAGCTGGAACCTCATGGACTAAATATGCCTCACTGTGTGGCCTTTCCAGCAATTATCAGGGTGGTTGAAGTCCTCTGTGGGTACCAAGGCTCATGATTGTGAGGCTACTTCTAGCTGTCTGTAGAAGGCCTCATGGACTTCCTTTCTCTGACCGGGTGGCCTGTAGTAAACACCCACAACAGGGTCACCCATATGAGCCTGCCCCTTCATTCTTACCCTTATTCTAACTCTTGACTCATCCTACATCCCCCACTTAGGCAGAGCTCGATACAGTCCAGTTGCTCTCACATGAAGAGCAGTTCCACCACCTGGCCTTGCTGGTCTGTCTTTCCTAAAATGTGTGACAGCATTCCAGTCATGCGAGCTATCCCACCATAACTCTGTAATGCAATGAGAACATGTCCCTCTGGTTGCACCCAGAGACCTGGTTCTTCCTGTTTTTTCCCCATGCTGAGTGTATTGGTGTCCAGCCATTTCAGAGACTTAATCAAGAAAGGTTTCCCTGGGGGGTGGGGGGGTTGCAAAAGGAACCACCAGCCCTGAGGTGGGTCTTCTGGCTTTCACCTTGGAAAGAAGCTAAGGAGAATTTGGTGCTGCTCTAGCTGGCCTGACTTATTCCCCAGATGGATGTGATGACATGGGCATTGCTGTACTGGACCTCCCTCCCCTGAGTCCTTCGGTTTAAAGCCCACCCCACCAAGTTGGCCAGCCTGCTGCCAAAGATTCCATTGGTTCATCGAGACAGGTGGATTCCATCCCTCCCTAACAGGTTATAGTCATCAAAGAATGTCTCATTGTCATAAAACTCCAAACCCCCGTGATGGCACCAGCCATGTAGGCAGCAGTTGATATTAATTATTCATCTCTTTCTGGCTGCCCCATTTCATCTAACTAGTTAAAACTGAGGAGAAGATAACTTGGGCACTAAGGTCTTTTTCACTTGCATTCCCAGGGCTTTATGATCTTCCTTGATTCTGCCTGGGTTCTGGGTCCCAGTGTCACTTGTGCCCACATGGAAGAGTAACAGTGGATGGTAGCTGGTGGTTTTGACAGGTTGTGGCACCCTCTTGGCAGTATCTCAGATCTGAGGACCCAGGAGGCAGCATACCTCTCATGACCCTGTCAGGTCAGCAGATGGACACTTCAGTGCCCTTTAACAGAGAGTTGCCCTCAACAAGCTCACGCCATTTATTTTTACAATATTCACTACATGTTGCTGGGTGAATTTTTCTCCAAGTAGAGCTTGCTCATGGCTGCCTGTAAGCACTAGAGGTTCATTATCTGGTTTTGATGGTCATGTTAGAGGGTGAAGGATGAATCAGAGTCCTGCTTTTTTGGGTCATGAGGATCCAGGATGCTTGTTTCTTGGTGACAGCTACAGCAGTATGACTTTGAAACCACCTGAAATGTGTTACTAAGACCAGACTGGGTGAAGGAGCTGTGTAGGAGCTGTGTGCTATTACAGAAATTAATTCTACACTGTGGAAGGTTTGTTTGTTTGTTTGTTTTTCCCTTTTTTTTTTTTTTTTAGTAATTGAGACCATGTATTTCGAAAGTGTTATTGAATGTGAGAATAGATAAAAAAACCTGCTAATACACATTGTGTACTTTTCTCAGATATGGCACAGAATGTTTCTGACTTAGATTTCTTTTCCATATGTATCAAAATACTTGTTTCACTATGCAGATCAAAATTTTAAAAAGCATTTCAAATTTTCATACAGAAAACATTTGTGTTTATCATCATCTTGTCTTGAAATTCAAATTGTCAATAGTTTGGTTATGAGATTGCCCTGGTGTGAGTTAGAATGGAACTAATTCTGATCAGTGATTTTACTTTTCAGCTCAGTCTCTTCTAACTAACTGCACTTGCTGAAGTTAATGGCACATTTTCACAGGCAGTGTCTTCTTCTAGCAGGGGTAGCGCTCCATGTTCAGAGTTACCACCAAGGATTGGTGTGCAGAAAGGCTCTTGCTTATACTTGTTACTGTGGAGACCAAATCTTTTGTACCACACTGGGGATGGTGCAAAAAGCAAAAGGCAGCACCTGTGGGGAGGAGCAGACAGGACAGGTGACCCTAAACTGACCATCCAGGAATTTCATCACATACATATCATATACAGTATAAGGCGAAGGGATCACACGGGTCAAGCTCTCTTCAATGGCCAGCATCCAAGGAGGACTCTGTCCATTCTGCCTTTAATCTTGATCCCTGTGTTCCGAAATCCAGTCCCAGGCACTGAGTCCAGGCTGCGACTTCCAAAGGGACTGCTCCACAGTGTCAGTGGTGACAGTGATGTAACTGCCGTCAGGGGGTTTGGATTCAATATTAGGTTTGTATATATTAAATGTTATTATTATTATTTTCATTAAAGCTTTTTCAGTTTTCTTTACTTATCCAAAAATCCCTTATTCCCTTTCTCTTCGCATTTGGGAGGGGAGGGGTTAACAGAACATCTGTTATAGGTCTAGTGGGCATCCCTGACCCTAAATCCTGACAGCAATTTTAGAGTGCCTTATGCTTTGCTGTCTAAAACTGAACAAATTAGTAGATAGCTGACACCTTTCTTCCTGCCTATAACTCTATTACTCAGTCAATATTTGTCTGTTATTATTCTTACTGGAGGATTAATTAGGAATTCTTCTGGCCAGTATATATACAAGTACATATATACATCACCTGGAGGCCTAAGCTTTGTCATTTGACCTAAGAAATGCAAACATAGTCTTGGTCATAATTTGCTGTTGTGACTGCAAATGGAATTTGGAGAATATAAAATTCCACTTGCAGCAGATGATACAGAATATTTCTGAAGAGGTTTCGACTGTTTTCAGGGCAAATCTGGAAGAAGAATTCTGAATATTCTTGTAATACTTCAAGGGAGGAGTAGATTGACTAAGTCTCCTCCTGTAAGGAGTAAAACAATGTACATACCATAAACTTTTATTAACTTGTCATCTGGATCAGTAAATCAAAGGCTGAAACAAATGTGGCTGCCAGAACAGGCATGATGATGTAGAACACTAACAGGCCAACAGAAAAATCTGAATTCTCTTTTTGATGGATGTTTCCATTTTTTTTTATCTTTGTGGGTTTTCATTCTTTGTTGCACCAAGCAGACTGAGATCTATATGCACAAGTTTGTCTTGGTAACTGCCCTACTGAATGTTTTTATTTGTTGGTTGTGAAATGTGAAAGAAAAGCGTTGTTATACTGATGGGTCCTGTAAAACAGTAGCTCTCTCACCACCTACAAAGCTTGCTCTCCCAAAAGCCAGACTTCCAAATTCCCAAATATCACTCCCATTTTTAAAAGGGGTAAAAAGGAA